CTGCGCCAGGCCCGCGCGCGGCCCGTACGGTCTGCGCCTGGCTCATGGGCGGCCCGTTCAGCCTGCGCCAGGCCCGCGCGCACCTGCCCTGCCGTGCGCGCATCCGCTCCCGCCACGTGCTGCCTGTTTTAGGGTTTGGGGGTGGCGAGTATGGGGGTGACGGATGTGTGCGGCCTCCCCTGCTCCTCCTCCTCCTCTGTCTCCCACTGCTGCAGCTGCCGCTGAGGGGGGTGGATGTGTGGGAGCCGTCGGAGTGGTACTAAGGGGGTGGCGTGTGAGCAGTGCTAGAGGTGCAGCAGGGGGTGTGTGAAAGGGGGGTGGGACAGTTTGGGGAGGTTGGGCGGAGGCAGCCGTCGTGTCGCCAGCAACGCCAGTAGTGCGGAGGCTACAATCTCCGGTAGCCCAGCGAGCCTGCTGCGCCAGTCGCCCGTGGGTCCGTTGCTCCTGCCGCTCAGAGTTAGCCGCGGAGCCAGTTACTCTAGTAGTCCGGGGGCTACAATCTCCGGTACCCACAGTGCGTGCCGCTCCTGTTGCCCGTGTATCTGCAGCTTCACCCGTCGTCTCCTATCTCCACTCCTCTCACAGTCCCTCCTCCTCCTCACTTACCGTCTGTGACTGCCTCTAGCTTTGCTTATATTTGTGAACTATTGCTCTGCTTGCTTATTGTGCTGATTACACCCCACTTTGGCTATGGGGGTGTGTCAGAATGTTATATTTGTCTAGCCTACAGTGGGATACTCAATAGTGAGTACAGCCCAATTTAGGGTTTGCTATATGTACTCAACTGCCTGCTAGTGAAACCCCCTCTTCTCTGTTTCGTTCATTCGTTCACTATTCTAACAGGGTAGCCCATAAGGGGTACAACCCAATTAGGGTTAGTACTTGTACCCAACTGTTTCCTAGTTCATTCATTCTCGTTCATTCCTCTGACAGGTATTGTGGTCGTTCGAGGCTGGTTGAGTGGGTTGGGAAGATGTTCCCGCGTCGCCATTCCGCAATGTTTGGAGTTGTTGCTCCAGGCTGGTGAGTCGCTGAAGCATCTGTGCGAGGGCGGCGGTTCCAATCGTCGTCGTTTCCTCGCTTGTCGCTGTCGGTTTGGTCTGCGCTTCAGCCGTCAGATTCGCCTGACCACCAGATCCTCCGGCCATTCTCACGCGCGAGCGTGTGCCGGACGCCAGTACGTACGACGAAGATTTCGGAGGTGGCAGTGTGAAGGATTTCCGAGTCGCTCTCATACCATGTTGCGATCAAGTGTTGATCGTCCCTAGGATCACCTCAGGAAGGTTCACACACGTCTGAGTAGTGGTGGTGGGTCCTTGACCTCAATAACAGATTGGATGTAAAATGCTTGAGATGGTAATAACATGCAAATACAGGAATATAAATAAGAGTACAAGGGAATTCGGATCGACCTAGGCTATCCATGTACTCTAAGGGGTACACTCCCTTACTGCAGCGAAACTCAACCGTGCGACTCCAGACGGTTACAAACTGCCTGTGCAGAATCTTCGCCACTGCTGCTGCATGGTGCTGTCTGCCCAACGATCCAGATTCTTTCGTAACTGTACGACCCTTCGCATCACTTCCACCTTTTCGTCTTCATCCTCGGTAGTGTGTGCTTCGATTGCTGCGGTAAGGAGTGCACAGTAATGCTTCATCTTTTACTATTCGAAACAGTCACAACAAAAGGCCATCAATAAGCCATCGAGATGTATGTAAATTTGGAAGATGATTTTCCATAAGAAGACGTCTACAACAAAGGATTCGATGCACTAACTCTACTAGAAGAACAGCGTTTGATTCAGTATTATAGTATATTTTCTATGTTTCAGGACGTTGCCATTACTTACACTCCTTCGTCCTTAGCATTTTGTTGGCTATTCCGCTATAACTATTCTGTACTTCTATATGGAGCTGTGTCCATGATGTATGTAATAAATTCGTGTGCTGTGTGCTTATGCGAAACTAATTCGTGGCGTCTTTGTAAGCCCGTTCGGTGTGTGAAGTGAAGTTGACGCACAGGTGCACACGCGGTTTGGAAATCCCGTCATTTTTGCAATTCCCGACCGAGCCTGTCTCATGAGGCTGGTGCGATATGGAAATTCGGTGGTGACCACCTCGAAAGTTTTCGTACTTCAAGAACCAAGGAAACATTGCAATGAACCACACAGTTCAATAGTCAAGCTTGCTCTGCGCATCTGCCCGTAATCGACCCCATTGCAAAATGTTCTCCCGCGAAGTCACAAATCGCCTGTTCGGGGGACAGGCCACCAAGGGCGAAGTCACACCCCGCCTTCGTCGCACTCACTCGCGCTGTATGCATCGCTTCGCTTCGTCGTCCTGTCCGCTCATTCTCCTCGTCCCATTTCTTCGCACGTTACCCCACCTCGTTTCGCTCATCCAGTTTTCCTTCGTCGCACCGCCTTGTGCATCATCGTCGCCAAATCCGACCCCTCTCGTCATTTGCCTTCCCGTCCCTCGAAACCGTCACCGCTAGACGTAACGTTTTCGAGGCAGTGGAAAGCCAGACGTGAGATCCACCAATCGACCACCACCACCAGTTTCTTGGAAAGCCAACTGGCGACCCTCTAAAATTCTCTTTTAGCCGCTGTTTTCTTCGCATATTTCGCCCACTTCTCCGCCAGTCTCCTCTCCACCACCTCCAGTTCCCACCACACGCCTCCTTCCTCTCACCAAGTCCCACACACATCCTTCCACCCGCCCGTCACCCGCTCTGCTCTGCTCTGTCCTCGCCGCTTTACAAGGCTATCGGGTGATCACTGATCTGATCACCTCCCCGCTTGCTGTGCGTTCCCGACGCTTTAGTGGCTGACGCCACCATTATTGACAGCTGATTGCTTCGCAACAGCGTCTCCATCACTTCCTTACTGATAGTTACTTGGTTCCCCGATCATTTTTAATAGCTCTTTGATTTAACGGATTAATCAGTCTGTCGCTTGCTCGTTCCGCCAGTTCCATAAGCGTTCGCAACGATTTGTTGTGTCTATCGCTCAACCGGGCTGAACCTCTGCTGTCGCAACCGCTCTTTGCGATTTTGTTTACTCGAAAAGAATTCAAGAAAAAAGGTCAGGGAAGTGGTCCTGATCCGTTATCAAGCGGGATCTGAACTTGGTTTGACTAGCGACGCGATGCATCTCGTCGAGCGCCCGTACGCCGCGAGGCTGAACAGTTCAGGCAGTGTGGGAGCGGGTCCGCGCGACGCCGCGATTCACGGCGGATCGCCTCAGAGATTGCACTTCGAGTCGAATCCCGAGCTTTGCGATCTCGATGATCCCTCCTACTACATGTCGCTTGACCATCTACCCGACCGGCAGATTCTCGTGCAGACGTCCAGAATAGGGGTACGTCTTTAATCTCATTAAGGGGTATGTCAGAAAGCGCAATAAGGGGTACGTCGTCCCCGCGTGCTGTTAGATCACTTACTATAGTCACAAGTCGTTGAAGTGTCACGTTATTACGTCGCTCGACGCTATCGCTTACGACACTCTCTCACGACGGTGCTTTCTTGTTGGTCTTGCAGGCAGGAGTGCCCGTAGTCGAGAAGGTACGGTGGTTGGACCAGCAGTTGTCGCACCTGCAGTGTCCCTACCCGATACAGCATATCGAGTTCACCTATTCCGGGGATGCAGGTACACTCCAACCATTGTTGTTAACCGATCGCTAGGTTAAGAGGTTTATTCGGTTTTTCATTTTTGGATCCGCTAGCTTGAGTGTCGACTGTCAGCGACGCTAATATTCCTCTTCGTCGTCGGCGCAGTCGTCCAGTTTATCTCGGAGGCCGCTAAACTGAAGGCGCTGACGCGCTGCGGGTCGTTGCGCTGGAGGAGCGTGGAGATCGCCAGCTGGCCGTGCGCGGAGGAGGACGTGCGAGCGCTGTCATGGGTCGGAATAACGGGCGCGCTTCCGGAGATCTTTCCACTCGTGCGACAGGTACGCTGCTTTCTGCGCTGTGCTGGTTCTGTGCTGTGGTGGGTGCACCACCTTTTGGTCACCTTTCAGGGATTCGTTGTTACAAGTTCCGATTTGGTTGAACTGGTTTTATTAAACGTTCGCTTTCTTTCCACCCCCGCTGACCCGTCCCCACGCCTTCCGTTTCCCCTCATACTCTTCCCCGTTCTTGTGGGTCACAGGCGCTACAGCAATACGGCGAAGTGAAAGGGGAGTGCCCCCCTCCGCCCAACAACCATCTTCTCTTGGCGCAACAGCAAAGGAGGTTCCCAATGCTCAAGTACTATTTTGTCCCTAACGGGAAGAAGAGGCTTCCGCCTTCCATGCATATTGTCAGACCAGACCGGTAAGTTCATTAAGATTGTCTGCATGGAAATTCTTTTGTTTTCCTCAAATTTTTGTAACTGACCTTTTCCCCTCCACTTCCTCAGGCCAAAGGCGTATCCACCATGCACAGTGCGGCTTTTCACCCCGTTTGGGCCTCTTTCTCCAACCTGTTCTGATTTTGGCAAGGCACACTCTGTGTATGGTTGCCCAACATGCTACTGCAATAGCACTCAAATGCAGTTTGGTGCTTAATTCGATTCTAGGTCTTAACACAGTCTAATCGGACCAGCTTCTGGCTGATAGGTAGTGCAGGGTCAAGGCGTGATAGGTAGTGACCTGTAACGTGTGCATTGATAAGCAGTTACATTGGTGCTAGGTCTAGCACAGGAGTTTGTAAGGTTTTGATTTATCATGCTAATAGCACTAGGATATGTAAAGCTAAACGTTTTTTGCAGGGTCCTTGAATACGTTCCATACCTTCAGAGAGTTCAAATTCAGCTCTAAAAGTTGATCTACCCACATCAATTAGTCCTCAAATCACCATCCCTAAGGAAAAAATGGGAGGTGAAAAAATTTCAACTGGCATCAGCTAAGGGTCTGTGGCTACAGGCACAAACGAAACACCCAAAATATTGTCACTTATAGAAGTCATAAACCTCTTAGCCCATTGCAGCACTCATCCTATCTCACCAACTGAGTCGCACTCAATCAATCTTGACCGATGCATAGATCAGGCGCACGAACCAGTAGCATGCATAGAACCCAATGGTTCCTGTGAGAATGAAGAAGCTGTAGGAGATGATGACCATGTAGCCGAAGTATAGGACAGCTGACACGAGCTTGGTGATCTCCAGCTTGGTGAAGAAGTAGAACGTGGCATAGAGGAAGAGGTAAAGAGCAGATGAACCGGAAGTCAGATACGCTCTCCACCACCAGCGATAGTCCTCACTGCAGAGCTGGAAGTAGCAGAGCACAATGGTGATCTCTGCGCACGTAATGATGAGGATGACGAAGACGATGAAGAGGAAGCCGAAGATGTAGTAGAATTGCTGCAGCCACATGGAGGTGAGGATGAAGAAGAGCTCGATGAACACCGCACCGAAGGGCAGAATGCCTCCAATGAGGATGGAGAACACGGGGTGCATGTACCACGCCTGCTCGGGGATCTGCCGCGGGATCTTGTTCGTGCGGACTGGATCCTCGATAGCAGCCTTCTTGAAGCCGAAGTAGCTTCCCAGAAGGACTAGAGGAACAGAGATGCCGAACCAGAGGAAGAAGAGAGCGAACATGGTGCCGAACGGAACAGCTCCAGAGGACTTCTCCTTCCAGATCAGGATGTTAAGAATGAAGAAGATGACGAAGACAACAACAGGGTAGGTGACTGCAGTGCGGATGGTGTTCAGCTTCCAATCAGTGCCCTTGAATGCCTTGTACAGGCGGGCGGAAGAGTATCCAGCCAAGAGACCCATGAAGACCCAGAGCAGAAGCATGGCAGTCATAAGCCCACCCCGGTTGGATGGGGAGAGGAATCCGAGAAGGGCGAACACCATTGTGACAAGTGTCATGAAGAACAGCTGCACACCGGTGCCGACATACACGCAGAGCAGGCCAGCATAGTTGGGTGGGCGGAACACATCACCATGGACCAGCTTCCACCCAGTCTCCTCCTGTGCCTCCTCCTGAGTCTCCAACTGATTGTACTGGGAGATGTCGCGGTGCAGTGTGCGCATCATGATCATGGCAACCATGCCCGAGAGGAAGAGCACGATCATGAGGGAGTTGATGATGGAGAACCAGTGGATCTGGTCGTCCGTCATGAGAAGGTACGTGTCCCAGCGAGACGCCCACTTCACGTTGCTTGGCTGCAATGGGAAGGAAGAGGGAGATAAAGCACAAACGAAAATGCAAATGGATTAACAAGAACAAGAAAACCAGACATTACACAAACATAAGTATCCAGGCTACCTTACACCAGAATTAGACTTCTTTACTACAACTTCCCGAATATGAAATGCTGGGACTGGAAGCAACGTTGTTAAACCCAATCCCAGACGATCTGAACTAATGTTATGGCTTCCCCTTCTCTGCTACGTTGATGTCGGATAGTTCACATCTGAGTCCGTGTCAGCATACAGTGTTATACGTGTCCGCTCATGAAAAACCATGCTTCTAAACCGTTTATCACGTCCCACTAGCAAGTTGCGCACTGGCGTTGCCTTCATGTGCACCCAAAGACCTCACGCGCTATCAGTCATTTCCCCGACATCGCACATTCCCCTTTCTCTGCGATGTTGGTGTCGGATATTTCACATCTTAGTGCGTGTCAGCTTACAGGGTCGTGTCGGTTCAAATTACCCAGCTTACTCGGTGTTCTACGTGTCCGCTCGTAAAACACCACGCTTCCAAACTGTTACTATCGTCCCACTAGCATGTTGCTTCGAAGGGATCTAAAGAAACAATCGCACTGGCGTTACCTTCATGTGCACCCCAAGACCTCGCAAGCTATCAGTAAATTTCCCGACATCGCACATTTGCGAACTCGGAATTCCACGTACCTTGAACATCACATCGTAGGTGAAGATGACCTCCTCGTTCTCCTTGATCGGCTGCGGTGGCATGCCGCTATCCACATGCTGTGTAGGGTTTCCTGGGTTGCAGGTCGTGAGGATAGGCTTCGCCGGATTGTAGGTACCCTCGTACTGGTGCTTCACACTGCACGCAATGGCCATTTTCAGGTTTAGAGAGTATAGGTCGCAATTGATCAGAACCAAAACTGTTGGCACCTACCTGAAAGGTTCGACTTCGAAACCGACGACGCGGGCCAGATTGTTCGTGGGGTCTTTGTGGAACAGCACAGTGAATCGCAGGTGGTTGTGCAAGAAATACTCATCGGGCCCATTCTGCAAGCACATTGGAAAAAGACTGGACGTTAACGTCACGATCTACCGATGATCTCTGAGGATCCATCATTTCAAACAACACTGAGAGGCCATGTGATTTTAAGTGCCATACCGTTTCCGATGGGGCCTTGAATCCCACAGGAAATCCACGCTCATAAGTCTTGATGGACTCACCACCTTCCTCCGCGCGCATCCTGACCATGGCCGCTGGCAGATTATCAAGGATCCTGCATTGAGCAAACCGAAACATTAGAACCGCCTTGTGGAGAGATACAAAAGACAAGTTAATAATGTTTCCTACATGAAGACGCGATATTCGTCATCGATCTTTTCCTGGAATTGAAGAGCCTCCTCAAGGGGAACCTTCGCCTTTCTGCAGACGATCTTGCACTGCTCGTCGATCCTCATTTGAAACTGCAACTCAGAAAGGTAAGATTCGCACCGTAAGAAACCAGCATAGTATTGCTAAACATCGAAAAATGATTCGTAATACAGACCTGATAGGGAGAGTTCTCAATTCTGTCACCACGCAGAATCTCGCCCAGATTTTCCGCCACTGGCTTAATTCCTTCTTCCGGAAGGCAGAAGGGGAGTGAATAGTACTCATAGGGAAGTTGAGTTCTGGTTGAAACTAACTTGTTGACTTTGACAAAAAGTGGATCCTCCTGCTCAGACATTGCGCGAAAAGTTAGTACTAATCCATAAATGCTCAAACATCGCTCATCGGCTACGGCGAAGATATTAACCTTCTTGAAGTCTTGAGGAGCCACGCCAGGAAGGTAAAAAGCTGAGGCGGCATTCACAAGTGCCAGAAGGCACAAGAAGGCCACAAGACGAGCCATGGCCGCGGTAGCGAATCAGGACAGCCACCTATCTTAGAAAGACTAACACCAAGATAGCTGAAACGTAAATTCAACCTAGCTGAGATCTGTTCCACACCCTGAACAACACCAGGATGCAGGAATTCTGTTCCAACCTAGGAGTTGCTGCTGGTTGAGTCTGTAGATGTGGACATGAGGGAGGGACAGCGCTGGCCAAGGATCCGTGATTGGCGGGAGGTGGTGTTGCGGTAAAACGCGAAAAGGCGGAAGTTGGCAGGGAAGGGGGGTAGCAAAGGGGAGGTTGGGAGCGGGGTGCGGGGAAGAGTTGGGGGGAAGGGTGGACAGGTGATGCGGTCAACCATTGGTGGAGAGCGGCGGATGGAGCAATGCCCGCCAAGGAAGTCTCCAAGAGTGGCTGCCAACAAGTGGGAGGTGGCAGGTGAGACTGACACAACCGCCATAGTAAAAATCTGGTGATAACATCGAGAATACATTTGTGCAGAATCAATAATACATTACATAACCCTGCTAAATAAAGAGGAGCTACTAGACGCATACAAAAAGAGTCATCAGGAGAAGCTGCAGGAATGGCTCGGGGTTAAAGTGGAGCTGGATGGGGAAACAACATCCGGTTTCCTTTCCGGGAAGATAAAGATGCGGAAAGCCAAGACGGTGATGAAGGCGGTTAGTTAAAAGGGGTCACCTACTCGGGAGCGATGAGCTTGATTACGGCGGCGATGGAGTTTTTCAAAGACTCCTTTGGCGGAAGTGGAGGCACTGACCTCCATGGGACGCAGCCGGTTGTCTTGCAGTGGACCTTGGGGGAAGCCAGCCGGAAAGCCCTTAGTGCACTATGGTCGGAGGAGGTACGGAAAGAGGTGCGCGAGCTGGCCCCTGGGAAGTCGCCCGGGCAGGACGGTCTTCCAAAGTGTTGGGCTGAAAAGGCCCTTAGGATCGTTTTCAAGACTAAACTCTCAGAGTGGTGATGTATTTAGCGGAAGCGTAATAGTGGATAAATTGAACCACCTTGCACTAGTATGTGAGAACAAGATGAGTTGAATATAGCAAAGAGATACAAGGTTTTATATGATTACAAGGAATACGAAAGGTTTAACTGTAACTGCTGTTGCGGTTCGATACAGCGATGACTCAGGTAACTGCTCAATAGCGAGTCAGTTATTTGTTCTTGCTGTCGCGATGCCTTTGTCGAGTCAAAGGTTGCTGACCTTTGACCTTCGCTTCAACCTCTTGCTGTTGTCGCCTTGTCAACCGCTTTGCTGTATCTTGGTTGACTCGGTGTTGCTTCGCTGTAGGTATGTTTCGTTCTTGTTATAGTGCTCGATACTTCAGAAGCGCAAACTAGATGTTTCCAACACTCCCCTTCGCTTTTGGAGTGTCATCGCCTTCGTTGATGGTGACGTGGCCATGTCCAGTCAGCAGCATGCAGTACTCGAACTTCTGCTTTCCAAGTTTATTCGTTAGGTAATCTGCTGCCATCTCGGACGTGAGGCAGTAAGATAACTCGAGTCTCCCTTTCTTGATTTCGTCCTTCATGAAGAAGTAGCGCAGGGCAATGTGCTTCGTCCGATTCGCGAACCCGCTCTTGTTCGCTATGCAAATTGCAGATTGATTGTCGCAGAAGAGGGAGAATTTGGGTAACTGGGCCAGCTTTGCTTCTTCCAGTAGTTTGCAAAGGTATAGTCCTTCCTTGGTGGCTAAGCAGAGTGCAATGTATTATGCTTCAGCAGAGGAGAGAGCAATTAGTTCATTCTTGCTCGACTGCCACGAGATAGGGCCGACGGGCTCCAGTCGATAGATATACCCGGTATGCGATCACCTGTTGTCAGATTCGCCTACGTGGTCAGCGTCCATGTAGCCGATTAGCTTTGGAGTAGTGGTTCCAGTCTTGTGGTAGGTTAGGCCGATTGTAGGTGTGCTGACGAGGTAGTGTAACGCGCGGTTGAGTTCCGCCATGTGTTTTGCTTCGGGCCGTTTGAGATAGGTGGCAAGCTGGCTCGCTGAGTACGACAGGTCCGGTCGGCAGGTAACGACTGCGAAGAGTAAGCATCCAAGTTTCCGCTGGTAGTCATGTAGTCCGGCAGGTCCGAGCAGATTATACTTTTCCTGGTGATTTCCGGCAGTGTAGCGATAGGGCGTGGATATGGCGGCTGGTGATAATCCAAAGCGTTTGGCGATTGTGTCGGCGTGTTTTGCGACGCTGAGGTAGATCGCATTTTCTCCGTCGAGTATGTTGAGTCCCAGGTATTGGGTTACGGTGGAAGAGACCGTGAGTGAGAGATCCCATTGTAGTTTCCCTTCAAACCAAGTGGTGATGTCGTCGGTAGAGCCTATGTAGAGCAAGTCGTTACGTACACGATCAGCAGGATGTATTCGGCTTCCTTCGTGAGTATGTATATGCCCTGGTCGTGTGGTAGTTGCTGAAAGCCGATGCGGATTAATCCGGCGTGTAGGTACGCCGCCACAGCCGCGGAGCTTGCTTGATGCCGTACAGGGACTTCAGCAGCTGACAGACTTGATTAGGGTCTGTGTCGGATCCGTGTGGTTGCTCGACGAAGATTTCGGCGTTGACGGGAGCGTAGAGAAACGCATTAGCTACGTCGATTTGGCGAAGCTTCTTCTGCTTTATGGCGGCTATCGCGAGAAGGATTCGCAAAGAGGTATGTCAGCTGACTGGCGCGAAAGTCTTGGTGAAGTATCGTCCGTGCTCTTGGTCGAAGCCGCGCACGACCCATCGTGCTTTGAATTTGTCAATTGTCCCGTCAGCTTTCGTTTTCACGCGGAAGACCCATTTTCCCATGAGACTGGTTTTGTTGCGTGCCACTCCGATGGGTACTATCTCCCAGGTGTTTCTGTCTTCCAGCGCTTTTAAATCCCTGTCCATGGCTTCTCGCCATTTTTCCCTGTGCTGCCCCCCCAGAGCCTGCTGAACCATAGCAGGTTCTCGTGGCATCAGTGCGCCATGGACTGCGGTGACGAGCCCAAGAATCTGTAGCCCACTCTGTGTGTGGCGAGGGAGATTTGGGTCCTCGGGATAAACTGCTTCGTCTCCCGCTTCTGGATCAGGTAAGAAGTTCGGGCCTATGCGTTCTGAAATGTTCGTGTTGACCGGCTAAGGTGTAACGTAACCATTGTCGGCGAAGTCGTAGTAGACTTCGGCGTTGATGCTTTCGCAAGGGTTTTCGTCGTCCATCGGAACGGGTACCGAATAGTAGGGAAGAGGTCCGGCTTCCTCCGATGCTCCGTCCACGATTTGTTCATCTCAGTCAGCCTCATCTGCTAGCGAGGCGAAGGCTCGGTTGCCATAGAAGCCGCTTGTGAGGTCTCGTTCTGCTGCCAAGTTGTCCAGGTACGTTTGGAGAGTGAGTCGTTCGTAGAAAATCACGTCACGTGCTTCTACTGTTTCCTTCAAGTGGACGTTGAAAATCTTCCACGCGTGGTAATGTTTTTCGATGCCCAGGTGTAATCCCCATTGTGCGCGTTGTGAGAATCGTCCGGCTCGTGTAGTGTGGGGTCGGTACTGTACCATGCAGCAAAAAACTCGGAACATTCTTGTGTTGCCCAATTTTCCTGTCCACAGCGGATGCGGTGATGCGTTTTTCGGAAGCGAAGATGATGGAAGCAAGTTGTGTAACAGCACATCATGGTCCATTGCCTCAGACCATTGATGGTTGGGTAGTCGCATGCCACGTAGCAGCTTGCGCATGGTGTTCTAGAGGGTCTTGTTCATCCTTTCTGCCACGCCTTGCTATTGATGAGCGTAGGGAAGAGAGATGAGTCTCTTGATGCCTCTCTCCACCAGGTATTGCTTGAAGCGCTGTGATTGATATTCTCCTCCCCCGTTTGACTTGAAACTTTTCAGCTTCACTCCTGATCCCCTCTCTGCTACTAGGAGCCAAGCGACGAAGGCTTCGAAGTCCATGTAGTGGCTCGGAAGATTGAGGTGCCAGATGTATCTGGTGGCGGCGTCGATGAACGTGATTACGTAGTTGTATGCTCCCTGTCCGCTTTTGCGGGTGTACAGTATGTCGCTGTAGACCTTCTCCAGCGGTGCATATGCTGGCGTGCTCGGGTTGTGGTGAGATACGAACGGCTGATGAGGTAAGTCGGCTTCAGGACAGGTAAAGCAGGTTCCGCAGACTCGTTGCAATTCTCTTCTGTCGGGTAAGAGTAGTGAATCTTTGTCGAGAACTCCTGCTCTTATCGTGTTGTTCAGTGTCGTATTGCTGGGATGTCCTAGCCTTTGATGCCACAATGATTCGTCGGCGCGATGTCCAGGCGAACGTCTGTACAGGTCGGAGTTGGAGTAGAAACCTGCAGTGACGTTAGCACTTCTATGGATGTCTCGTGGAACGGGAGACATCTATTGAGCGGGAGTCGGGGTTGATGAAGAGCTGGCGATTGGTGCTGGTGCTATTGTTGTTGCTTCTGCTTATGCCGATGTTGCTGCTACTGCTGCCGATGTTGTTGCTGCTGCTGTTGTCTGTTGAATCACTGCTAACGCCCTTGTCCGTTCTGCTTCAGGTATAGTGTGTGAGTACCAGAACCCTTCGGGGCTGAAGTCTGAGTCGAGATCTGGTGGGTGCGACCAAGTGGTGAAGTTGACGATCGCGTCGCTGTTAGCAGTTCCTTGATCTAGGACAAAGTCGAGAACGAAGACGTTCTTCAGGACCGCTTTCCCGATGTAAAGTTCGCCCCTCCCGTTGTACAGTTTGAATTCTTGAGCGGTGCTATCGGCTTCAAGATGGATCCCTTTTGCCATGAGCTGGCTGGCGCTTAGTAAGTTGTAGCACAGTCCTTCTGCAATCAAAACCTTCGACATCTGAAAAACGACGTTAGTTTCGCCAAACTGAAGTTGAACTACTCCTTGTCATCGTGTGTGCATGTTCCGGTTGTTGGCGACGGTGATCACGACTTCCCGGTTGTCACTTGACTACTTGAAGGTCGAAGCTGACGTGGTGTTGGTGTCGATTGCTGCTGATTCGGGCAGTGAATACGAGAGTGTCCTGGCGTTCGGCAGAGATGACAGAACGGCGGTACGTATCTTCGTGCTTGGTGCTCTCGTTGTCGGTTGTTGTTGTTGTTGCGCCGCTGAGTGTGAAAGGCGAACTCTGGTGCTGATCCTCTTTACTTTTGTCGTTCTTCATGCAGGTCCATGTCTTGTTGTTCAGCATGAATTTCGGTGCAGAGATTTGCTTCGGAGATTCTTCCGTGGGCCCGGAGAATGGCTCGAGTGGAGCGCCACTGAGGACCGAGACCTGTGATGACGACAGTGACGAACGCTTCTTCGGATATTGATCCGCCGCATCGAAGGAGTCTATTGCGCAGACCGCGACAGCGACTGATATATGCCATTCCCTTTTCGTCGGGTTGCATTTGGACCGTTGTTAATTGCGCCATGAGACGACTTTGATTAACGCTGTCGGTTGCTTGATACAGGTTC